AGTTGCACTCTGTCTCTAACAGTAAATAAACATTTAAAAGAATTTTTTTTTTCAACGTTTATTTATTTTTGGGACAGAGAGAGACAGAGCATGAACGGGGGAGGGGCAGAGAGAGAGGGAGACACAGAATTGGAAACAGGCTCTGGGCTCCGAGCCATCAGCCCAGAGCCCGACGCGGGGCTCGAACTCACGGACCGCGAGATCGTGACCTGGCTGAAGTCGGACGCCTAACCGACTGCGCCACCCGGGCGCCCCTAAAAGAATTTTTTAAGAAAGAAAGGCAGGAAGGAAGGGATGGACGGAGGGAGAGAAAAGGGTGAAAAGAAGGTCTGGACTGGTACTATCAGTGTTGCAGACCTGAGAAGGAAAGGGTGGGTACTGGGCTCAGTTGCCTTCCCTGTCCACACGAAGGGAAACATGTCTGTTAAGGTGACAATAGATCATGATGTAAGTAAAATCCAAAACACCATCTTATGCGGTCACTGATTACGTATTTTACTTCTGTATCTCTCACGTCGTTTCTGTCGAGTCACGTGCTTTTAGGATTTCAGTAAATATTTGTTGAATCGGTGAGTGTAAGCAGGGAAATCACTTCTACTTCCGATAAAGTAACTTCCCGTTGGTTAAAGTTAATTCTATTGTAAACATGTAGGGAAACATCAAGGATTGTGTCTATTAATCGCTCAAGGGCATGTGTCCAATTAAACGTAAGGTAACACGGGGCAGTCTCCATGACCAGCCGCCTGCCCCCTTGGGAGGGCTGACAGAGTATGAAACCTGCACCCCCTTCCCTGCAGACATGTGTCTGCTTCGGTTCCTTTTTTCTTCCTTCCATGCTAGCTGCGTGGGAGTGATGATTACGTTGTTTGGGCGTCTGAAGTAAGCACAGACTCAACATGAATTCGGTGTCTGCTCGAGACCTAGAGTGGTCCCACCGTGGGGACCCTCCTGGAGATGGGGTGCTGGGAAACGTGGTGGCCGAGCCGTCAGGCCAGCTCCATCCTTCCCAAAACCCTCATCTGCCTGTGACTTGTCCCACCCAGTCCTACCATCCCCCTACTCCTTCAGGCCCATCTTAGAGTAAGAGCCTGAAAAGACCCTTGCTGTAATAGTGTCTCTGTCTCAGCCACAGCACACATTCAGTATATGGCATCTGCAAATCACATTTGCAAGGCGATTCATCAACCAGAAACTATCCTTTTTCAAGGTACGGGAAAAGAAGGCAAAGATTTACTCAGATCTCCCAGCCAGTTGGGGGGGGGGGGGCGACTGTGTCACTTTTTAGGGCTCAGGGACCTTGGTTCTGAGCCCAAGCCGCCCATCCGTCCTCTCCCCCAGCCTCATCAGGCTCCGTAATATATTAGCTGCCTTTGCTCCGCACAGCATGGGGTGCTCAGCACAGCGGGAGGGCCCAGATTTCCTTTATCAATTCAGTCAAGGCTCTAAAGCCACATTCTGCAGCATTTTGTTAGCATACTAAACACCTTTCTGCAGTCAGCCTCATCTTTGCGAGAGAGGGAGGGAGGGGAGGTTGTCTGCCCTTCTGGTTTTCTCTCTTTCTTGCTCACAGCAAAAAGCAGAAACCCAAACTCCGCATTCGGCACCCGTCTGCAACACACGCACAGCAACCCGGTACCTCGTCGTTTGTCACCCTAGACAACTCTACGCTTGGAACCTGCGTTACTTGTGTTTGCTTCTGGGAAATTAACCGGAATGTGCACAGTGGGGATATAGCCTGTCCTCGTTTGTTGTCATCCCTGTATCAGATGATTTGTCATGTGAGCGAGCTGGAATGTGAATTTGGATGCATTACCCATCCCAGGCGCTCCCGTGGGCACCTTAGGTGTGCCCCGGATGGTTTTGACTTTGCAAATGATATTGCCTTTGTAGATGTCAGAACGGCGTGCAGCGGGTTCCCAGCCTCAGCCGTTAACACGGCACAGGCCTGCTGGCCACCCCAAGTGCTATATAAATCAACCCTAAGTGGTGACGCCATTCAGAAAAGCATGCAGGGAAGGCAGGGAGAGGCCAGCAGCTCCAGACCCCTATTCAGTTCTGCACAGATTACTCCCTAACTTTGGGGGACTCTCGTCTCAGGAAATCTGTTGTAGTCTGAGCATTTTGACGATGCGTTTGCAAGTTTTCTCCCCATGTTCGTTGCAGCTGTCTTGGGCACCAAGGTCATAGGGGTCTTCCCATTTGGTAGATGAGAAAACATAGGCAGAGGCGTTGAAACGAATTCCCCTGCCAAAGCCAATATTGCAGACACACGCCTCTAGATTTGGCCCCCAGAAGGGCGACCGCACAGATCTGTGGATCTGTCAGTGTGAACTTGGCTTTGGCTAAAGCGTTATTATGTCCCAGCTGATCTGTAGGGCCAGTCTTTCCAGAGACTTGGAAATTCTTTTTTTTTTTTAATTCTTTTTAAATGTTTGTTTATTTTTGAGAGTGAGAGAGACAGAGCGTGAGCAGGGGAGGGACAGAGAGAGAGAGGGAGACACAGAATCCGAAGCAACTCTAGGCTCCGAGCTGTCAGCACAGAGCCCGATGCGGGGCTCGAACTCGTGAACCGTGAGATCACAGCCTGAATCGAATTCAGATGCTTAACCTACTGAGCCACCCAGGCGCTCCGAGACTTGGGAATTCTGACCACCACCCAGTGTCTCAAAATAGAATTTTTGGTCCCTTTTAGATGTGGTCCTGTGAGGGGTACAAACCCTTAGGAAGCTTACCCGCCACACAGCTCTGCTTCAAGCCCTGAAGCGTCCACCTTCATC